GGAAACTCATGCATCACCGTGTGCAGAGCAGTGGTGATTCACACCAGGAAACTCAATGTCAGCCAGTGGCTCTGGGCTGCCAACCCAGCTTCTGTCTTGACCAACACAGGGAGATCAGGCCGGCTTCGCCTGGGCCAGGATGGTCTGATCACGGCTGCTGCCCAGGTGACAGACGCGGGGACAGACTCCATTTTGCCATGGGACGCCACTGGCTTCAACCTCTGCTATAACCACAGCCACCACTCAGGTTTCTGGGGACATGAAAAAATAGGGATATTTGGTCTGCCCAGGACTCAGTGTGGTTTGGTAGGAGTGGGTGAAGTCAAGTAACACTCTCCACTCCAGCTTGGGGGCAGAGCCTCCAGTTTTTCACAGTCCCCACCAGCCCCTATAGCACTGCACTCGGCTCAGGTCTCTCTTACATTACCTGCACAGCCCCAGTGCTATCTAACTTTGAAGCCCTTATCCCAGAGCAGGTCCAACCCGTAGAATCATGGGATCATTTTACACAGAGCAGCATTTGATTCAAAACGTGAATAGTTCTTTCTCGCTTGTTTTTGGTTTTGTTTGCTTGTTTTTGTGAGTTTGATCTCACTTCTACTCTTGCCATGCCTTCCTCCACCCCAAAGTTCTATGGTTGAATCTGTGCATTTTTTCATTTATGAATTTTGGTAAGTCGTGGTTAGAAAAGACTTTCCCACTTATAAAATGTTTGCTCAATCTTGTTCTAGTACTTTTATGGTTTTCCTTTTTGACATTTAAACTGTTGCTCCATTTTTTTTTCTGGTGTATGGAAATAAGGATAGATTCTTTCCTCCCAGGATAGGCAGTGGTTCCAATACCAGTGACTGAATGGGCCCTCTTTCCCCAGTGACTTAGATGCTGAGTCCCTCACGTGACAGGTCACTTTCCAGGTCGTGTGACCCCCCCCCATCATGGGTCTGTTCATCGTAAGTGTGCTGCCTGGGTGGCTGGGGCTTTACAACACCTTTACACATGGTTTGCCGAGGACCTTATCGCTCTTCTTTTGTACATTAGCTTGAGTCTAGTTCACAGAGAAGGAAATACAAATTGGTCAAGGCTCCAAAAAGATGAACAATGTCACCAGAATATGAGATGAGGGTCAGAGCTGACTGCATCTGATTTTCATGAGGCAGAATGACAAAGGCCTCAACAGTTACATGACCCTGGGCTGCTGGTTTGTTTTGGAGGAGACAGGAACTCTCAGACACTGTAGGTAGAACCCCACAGAGGGTAACTTGGGGATTATCTACCAAGTTTAAACAAGGACTTGCAAGCCAGGCCTGAGGCAGATGCCTGTAATCCCAGCTACTCAGGAGGCTGAGGCAGGAAGATGGTAAGTCTGAGGCCAGCCTGGGAGACTTAGTGAGACCCTGTCTCAAGCTAAAAAGGGCTGAGGATGTAATTCAGTGGTAGAGCCCTGGGTCCAATTCCTAGCATTGGAAAACAAACAAACAACAACAAAAACCCTGTGGACTTGCCCTTGAACTAACATACCATTTCTAGAAATGAGCCCTTCGACAGCACTTGTACAAAAAATAAAGACCATGCATGTAGGGTTTTTTCATAGGCACATTGGCAGTAATGGCAAAAAACTGGAAAGAAGCTAAATGGCTCCAACCAGGAGCTGGTTAAATCATTTATAGCACATGAGCTATGGAATAATATGTACCCATGAAAAATGATGAAGATGCTCTTTCTGCACACCTACTTAGACAGTTCTCCAAAGTGCACAGCTAAGTGAAGTAAGAAAGTGTGAGTCATAGCATCTGATCTATGAGAACGAGATTACAGCTTCTGGAAGCCTCAGTGGGATAATGTCTTCCTTAAAGGCCACAGGGGGTGCCAAAGGACACATGGTGCCTGGTTTATTTCATAAAGCCAACGCAAACCAGCCTGGGAGGTCCCTGGTTACCAACCCTCCTCCTAGAACTTTTGATTTTCTTATACATCCTCCAGCCCTTCTCCATGCTGATCCTGAATGAATAATGGTGCATAGGGGCGGGGTCTGAGCTCAGGGTTTTAACACTCCAAGAGGAATTTCCCTGGGTTCTTAGGGTTCCCTACAACACAGATGACCCAATCCTCTCAAACTGGCATTCTTCTTAACACCACCACTCACTCGAACTGAGGGCTCAGGTGTCAGAGGTGAACTTGGAAGGAACAAAGACCATCAGACCTGAAATTTGGGTGACCGGCCACATTCGTGGAGCACTCAGCTTGTACCTCACATACATTGCAAACACACCTAGTTCTCACAACTCCCTATGAGGTCAGTGCTCTTAGTCCCCCTGTTAGTACCAGGGCAGGAAATGGCGGAACCGAGAGTAACTTAGCTCAAGGTCACATGGCTGGGACTTCAGGACTGGGATGCTGATTCAGTGTGACTTCGGCGTTGGTGCTTTTAATGGTTTCGAACACGTTATAGAGGGAAAGTAGGAATAATGAAGATCCAGCCTGTGAGGACCTCATCAGATGAGCCTGTGAATTGTTTCCATCAGTCCCCCTCCCAAGCACCATGTGGTCATCTCTCCTGTGCCATGCCATGGTCACAGGTGAGGAAACTGAGGCACCACACAGTGCCCGCACCTCCCCTAGTCCTGCTGCTTTGTGGGGGACACAGATCAGACCCACGCTGCCAGGTCCATGGTTCCTAACTCCCTCACTCTAGCAAGTTCTGACAACCCACTCTCTGCGTGTTCTTTCTTGTGTTTAATCTTTGTGAATAGCAATTTTTTTTTAATCAGGAGAGGTCAAAAGGAAATAAAAAATGTCAAGCCATAAGAAATACTTGTTGGCTATAAAAACTTTGGGATGTACTTTTAAAAAAGAACTCACGGAGGCAGGAGGATCTTGAGTTTGAGGCAGCTTGGGTTCTATAATGAAACCCTGATTCAAAAACAAAACAAAACAGAACAGCCATGCAAAAGCTGAATGAGGGCTGTGGATCGCCCCCACGTGCTATCTTCCACGTGCTATCTATCTTTCACGTGCCTATGTTCCTTTGTGGTCCTCGAACTCTGGAAACTGGATCCGGCCTCGGGACCAGCAGTCCCCTTGCCTGGACTGCTGTCTCCAACCCTCACATGGCTGCCTCATCTTCATTACTTGGGTCCCTCTCCACCTGGTTAATGATTGTCCCCACTGTCCTCTGGTCCTGTCCATCACCACACCTGCTTTTGTCCTTCATCGGCCTCAACAAAGGCTGTAATTATCTGTTTACTTATTAATTGACTATTGTCCATTTCCCTTCCTGAAGAAGTAGTGTTTTCTGACTGCTGGGCCCCCAGTTCCTAGAAAGACAGCAGGTGCAAAGCTGGTGCTCAATTGATAACACAAAAGGAACGAATGAGGGAATGACCGAATGGGGTGTCAGACTACATAACTTATGTCACTTAATACACAGCTGGGGAGGAAGATGTGTCAGAGTGGGGGACACTGGGTTAACTCTGCACTCTCTACAGCCTTACAAACCCCTAGTCAATAAGTGAAGTTTCTATTTGAAGAGTTGGAAAGAAGCTGGCTTGAGATGGACCCAAATGCAAGGTCAAGTTCAATGTTCTTACAAGCCTTTACTAGTGGGATTGGTGCTGTAATTCACTCTCCACTTAGAGATTGATCTCAGCAGCTTTTTCCTTCTGGTGGGACTCAGAAAAGCCACCAGCAGGGAGACAGAAGTGACAGAAGCAGGAAGACAGCATGGCCCGCTCAGGGCACAGGGTTTGGGATGAGCTGGGGGTTTGGGTTTCCACCACATCCCAAAGAGACTGGATATGGCCCATTTCTACTGTACCGGTAAAATCTAAACTCCTCGTCCTGACACTGGGTAAATCAATCATTCCTTCCACACCTCATTCTCTTCCTTCATAAAGCGGGAGTGGCACCATTGCCAACAAGAGTGTCATGGAGGCCAGGTGAGTCCCCACAACAGGGCTGGCACCCTGGCTCCGATGTCATCATCAGGAAATGAACACAGGCCTTTGCCTGGAAGCTCTTCCCAGGGCTGGGCATGAATGTCCACCCCCTTCTCTATACACAGCCCTATGATCACAAGCTGACCTCAACAAAAATTAAAATAAGAATCACAAAATGACAGTATCATCCAATAGGATGTTTTTTGCAGTCCCTCCTGAGTTCACCGCCTTGCAGCACACTTTCCCTTTTGCGTTTTACTTTTTAGATCCTTGATGGCCATTTTTTGTTTGGAGGGGAAGACCCCAGGATGGGGTTCCCAAAGTGACTGCCACTGGCCCTTGGCTCTCTGTGTCAGCTCCAGGTGCTCCTGGGGGCATCAGAGGACGGGAGAGGGGAGGCAGACACAGGAGGACCCAGCAGGGCAGTTCCCCAGGAGACGCAGGACAGGGCAGCTCTTTCCTCCCTCTTGGATTTCCCTGGGGGAAGGAAGGGTGCCTTTCCCACCACCCACACACCTCTGAGGAGGCTCTACACTGGACGACTTGCTTGTCCCATCACACTTCAAAGCTAGCTCCTTTCCACAGCCCCGAGGCCTGCTCTGTCCCCAAGGTTCCCTCCTACAAGTTCTCTGGTTCCACCTCGGTTCTGTGCCTCAAATACAAGAAGCCATTTCCCACCAGACAGCATCTACATTCACTGTTTCCTCTGTCTGCGGTGTTCTCCCCTGAGGGCTGCTCCTGGGTGGCTCCCCCTTACCCTTTGGGTCTCTGTCCACTGTCATCTCTTTAGAGAGCCTTTCTTAAAGACTGGCTCTAAAGGCACATGTCCCAAGTCCCCTGACCCCTCCACTGCTCACCACCGCAGTCAGCACTGAGTTTCTTCATTACACCAGGTTCCTTCTGAAATTAGCAGTGGAACCACCCCGAGGGAGATCCCCTGTCCTGTCTAGCCTCACGATGGCACTGCTTGAGCCAGGGTCGGGCACACAGTAGGTGCTCAGGAGATCTGCTGAGTGAGTGGACGAGTGAGGGGACACACAGCGGGGAGGGCGGCGCCACACTGACCGTGCATCTGGTACGGGTACGGGCTCTGTCCGGCGGGCGCGGTGCTGAAACTCGAGCCGTAGCTGAGGAACCCGCTCTGGCTGGGGGAGTGGCTCAGGCTGTCTTCTGTCTTGATGCCTTGGAAGGAGGGAAGAGAAGCACCAAGGACATGTGGTTAGGATGTTTTCTGTCACCCTCGGGAGAGCCACCAAGGCGAGATGGCACTCACTGTGACCAGTTTCCACACCAGGAGTGGCCTGAGAGCTGAAGTAAGCCCACATTTACCCTGGCCCAGGTTATTTTTAAGCAAAATTTGAATTAATTGCTTTTAAAAAAAATCATGAGATTTCACCAAAAAATGTGAACTTAGGCTCTGTCCACAACAGTGAAACCATGGACCAGAGGTTCAGCAGTGCCATGTCTGTGATCCAAGTGAGGACAGGCTGCCCTGGTAGGACCCCCGTTTGTCCCTCCCAGATCATTCACTGGTCCCAAACTTTCTGTGACATTGAGTCTTGAGAGAGTATACTATTTTTTATTGCAGTTGGACTTTAAAAAATACTTAAATTTAAATTGTTATTTTTATTATTATTTTTCACATTCTAGGACACTATGAAAAAAGGGGGACAGGAAAGGCAGGCCAAGTAGGGCTCATATTTTGTATCTGCAGCCAGTCTCATTTGACCTGCCTGGCTTATAGTTGCCTGGGTTTGCTGTCCCCCAAACCCACTGAGCAGTGCCATGGATGGATGAAGTGTCCATTAGAATTGGGGCTGAAAATGTTAAACCAACCTTCCTTCCTTTGCAAAGATGATGTCACTTAATGGTAAGATGCACTCCCTGCTCCTCCCATGGGGACCCGCTTATGCAGACACAATCACGGATCTGTATCTGCTCTGGCATCCTTACCCAAAGCATAGGTACCAATTCCATAAGCCACCAGTTGGGGTAAGGGTGGTGTTGAGGATGGTCCCTTCCTAGTGGCTCATTCATTTTATTTTTATTAAAAATGAAGGACCAAGCATTGTGGTTCATGCCTGTAATTCCAGCTACTTGGAAGCCAGAGATCAGGAGGCAGAGATTGGGAGGATCACAGTTTGAGGCTGTCTAGGTAAAAAGTTATCAAGACCCCATCTCAACCAATAAGCAGGGTGTGGTGGTGCATGCCTGTCATCCCAGCTACTTGAGAGGCTTAAATAGGAGGATCACGGTCCAGTGCTGGCCCTAGCAAAAATGCAAAACCCCGTTTGAAAAATAAATAACTAAAGCAAAAATGGCTAGAAGTGAAGCTCAAGTGCTAGAGCACCTGCTTAGCAAATGCAAGGCCCTGAGTTCAAACCCCAGAACTGCCAAATAATAATTTTTTTAAATGCAATAAATGCACTGCAGAAAATTCAAAGGTATAAAGAAAAACATTTCTCCCCATTCCTGACCCAAGCCCCTGCTCTCCTTTCTGTATCCACTGTTACCAGCATCTGTGCACGCACAGACATGGATATCTCATGACACGTGTGCAGAATATAGTCATGCTTTCAAAAGTGCAAATGGGAGTGTTCCATAACCACTATTTTACAACTTCCTTTGTTCTTTCATTACTTCACAATATGTGACAATGGCCATCGCTCCATCAGTTACGCGGGCCCTCCTGATTTTGTGTTTGTAGCTGTCTGTAGTATTTCCTGCGCATAAAGACGCATGTGCATGAGACACAGGTACACCTGTGCGCGCACAGCATGTGTGCTTGTTGCAGCTTAGTGTGTCTTCTGGGTAAATTCCAGCCGTCCAAGGGCAAGGGCCTCTCCCATTTCCACGGGCGCAATAAACAGTGTTCCAGACAATGAGCGTGCCTGCTTCCCCACGCCCCGCACCAATCCTTGGGGCCTCGGTTGGGCCTCATGGGTCAGGCCAAGGGGAAGCAAAGGAAAGGGAGTTGGGCCTTTGACCCCCACCCCAGGAATGAGCGGAAGAAAAGCTCGGACCTCACGTGTTCCTCCTGGTGGCACAGGCACATGCTGAGAGTTTCGAGGTGGACGGGCGAGCTCATGCGTGCTCAGGGCACTGCCCGTTCCTGGTTCCCGGTTCTCCTTCTACCATTACTTTTGTTTGGGCTTCACTAAGAAATCCACGTGGCTGAGATACAGAATCAGCCTGGGTGCCATCAAACAATGAATGGATTCAGAACATGTGGTCTCTGCAATGGAGTTCAGCCACAAACTGCAGTGGAGCATTATGCAGCCATGAAGAAGAATGAAACCCTGTCATTTGCAGCAAAGTAGGTGGAACTGGGGGCCAGGAAGTGAAGCCAGACACAGAAAGAGGAGTGCTGAGTGTTCTCTCAGACGTGAGAGAAGGCTAAAAAAAGACAACCTGAATGCAGAGCCGTGATTACCAGAGGCTGCAGAGTGAACAAAGGGAGGATGGATTTGATCTGTGCCCACCATACGCATGTGATAAAATATCACACAGGGATCTCTTTAACATTTACGGTTAGTAGATGTTAATAAAAAGAAAAGAGCTGGATGTGGGTTGTGTACATCTGTAATCTCAGCTACTTTGGAGGCAGATAAAAGAATTGAGATTTAGGCCAACCTGGGCAAAAGAGTTAGCAAGACACTACCTCAAAGAACTAACTGGGCATGGTGGTGCATATCTGTAATCCCAGCCACTTCTGAGGCAGAGGTAGGAGGATCATGATCCGAGGCCAGCCTCAGGTAAAAGTGAGATCCTATCTGAAAAACAACTAAAGCAAAAAGAGCTGGGGCCGTGGCTCAAATGGTAGAACAACTGCCTGGCAAGCCTGAGGCCCTTAGTTTACATCTTAATATCACCAAAAAACCTAAATAAATAAAAAGAAAAAGGAAAAGTGGGAAAGAACTCTGATGTGTGGGGCAGATTGAAAGCCATGGCTGCAGTGCATTGTGGTCCTTCCACCAAGGTGAAGTTTCTTCACACAGCCCTGGAACCCAGGTTGGCCTGGGCCTGGCACGGACTGGCAGAGGGGCTGCAGGGGGTGTGAGCACTGGACAGCAGGCACCGGGAGGCTTTGTAGCCCAGGGCCATCGGATGTAAGCGGCCAAGCTGCAAGGCCCTGCTGAGAGGGAGTGGTCTTGAGGACCTGCTCAAGAGAGCCTGAGAGACAGCCACCAGCCGAAGGTCCACCTGCCAACCCTAGCATCAAGAAAGAGTGGTTGTTGAAGCCACTGGGTGTTGGGTGACCTCTAACTGCACAGACATTGGCCACGCTCCACTGTGCCCCATGGCCCAGAACGTCCATGCTTAGGTTCTGCACGTGAGGAACATACAAAGACGTGGACTGAGCATCCTGTGTGAGGGGGACAAGCGAAGCCCCCAGTCCTACATGGTTGTCCAAAGGAGAATGGAGAAACGGTGTGTGGAAGGAAAAGTGGAACATGACACCGCAGCGAGAAGAAATGAGTGAATGAATGAACAAATCAAAGAGTGACTACAGCTGGCACGGACAAACTTACTGCATAAAGTTGGGAGGAAAGGCAAGTTGCAAGAGGTACAATGTACACTGCCAAGTTCAAAACTTGTAACATACTCTGCATCCCGGGTCAGCAGGCTAGAGCCCCAGGGTCAATGTGACCTGCCGCGTTTTTGTAAACACAGATTTAGTGACACACAGACACAGCCGCTCACGGGAGCACCGTCTAGGGTCCTTTCACACTACGATGGCAGTTGGGTGGCTGTGACAGGGATGGTATGGCCTGCAAAGTCAGAAGCACTTACTCTCTGGTCTTTAGTTCTATTCCTGCAGGCACTGGTAAACCTCTGATTCTGGTGCAAGTGTCTCTGAGAAATCTTTTTACGTTGCATGGTCACTCGGGGCATTGGTGGCATCACTCCTTAGGCTTTTCTCGATGTCTCAAATGTTGCATGGTAAAGAAATACTCAGTACTCCCAAGGCCCTTGTCTCCAGTTTGCTCGGTTGCACCATCCCCCTACCCCCCCCCAGCTATTTAACCATACTGCTGTTTGCTAAGGAGCAATGAAAGACATTTCCCAACAAGATTCAGCAGGGCTCCACCATTCGGATGAAGAGCACACACTGCCTGCTTGGGCACAGGCATAGGCAAGGGGACACAGCTTCCCAGCCCCGCCTGTCATTATTCTGTGACATGGACATTCTCGGTCTGTGTGGCAGCTGGCCTCTACTGATCCAGCTGCCACTACTGAGCACTTCCTGTGGGCTGGGCCTGGTGACCTAAGCCCAATTATATAGATCAGGGCCCAGGGGCCAAATCTGGCCCCCTGACTGTTTGTGTCAATAAAGTTTTATTGGAACACAGACACATTTTAGTACACACAGTGTCTGGCTGCTTTTGTGCTTTCATGGCCCAGCTGAATAGTTGCGATAGAAAGCATCCAATCCACAAAATGGGAGAGAAGGTTAAACAATTTCTGATAGTGATTTTTCTTCAATCCTCACAATCACCATGGGGAGAAAGATTTGGTATTACTTCCATCAGATGAATGAGGAAACTGAGGTCAGGTTGGTGAGGTCACTAGCCCAGGGCCTCAGGACTGGCACCGGGCAGGGGTGGGATATGAAGACAGGCAGCCGAACTCCAGGCCCTGAGATCTTACCACCACCCTGGATCGCCTACAGTAACTGAGTCAGTGAGATATCTTCAGACCACATTAATTTCCATCCGATGCTGTTTCGTCTGGGAACAGGGCTAGTTTTCTCTTTTATGTGAAAATAGTATGGCTGCATCGTTCTGGGCTGTCAGCCCAGCAGGGTAATGTACACGTGATTGTGTGTCACATCCAGCACAGGAGGGAGGGACTGTTAAACAGAGGACCCACACCTCTTGGCCCAGGTCTGTCATAGGTAACCCACCGGGACTTATGAGGCAGTGGGGATCAGCAGCTGGGGGCTCAGCCGCCAGAGCTGAATTCCACCTCTACCATCAGCCAGCTGGGTGACCTTGGGTGAGATGTTTACCCTCTCTGAGCCTCAAGTTGGATAGTGATGTGACCTTCCTTGCAGGGGGGTGGTAGGGATTAAAGGAATTAAAGACACAGAGCAGAGCTATGAGGGGAAGTCAACCATGGCGACTGTTGTCAATACCTGACCTGATGTGCCGACAGAACCTGTCACCCCTCCCTCTGGAATAGCTCTTGGCGCCTTCTGCTGTTGGCAGCTCATGGCCTTACCCCGGCCTCCAGCACCCTGCTCGAGGCCTTGCCAGGCTTCCAAGTTTAAGTCAACTTCCCTGCAGCAGTTGGAGACATCTTTGAATTCCTGAAGTGTAGTACCCCGGCCCTGCTTCTGAGGTCTCAATGGCTCTTGGCTCCCATGGAATAAATCCCAAAACTTTCTGGGGCCTCCCAGGCTCTGCCCACCTAGTCACTCATTTCCCTCATGTTCTGTCCACTGGCCTCCCTGGACCCACCAAGTTCCTGCCGGTCCTCGGCTGTCCTCTGGATGCTTCCATCCTGGGCTTGCTAGATAGCAAGTCCTCTCCTCTCAACGCTTGCTTGTTTGTTCATTTGTTCGCTTACTGTGGTGCCCAGAATGGAACCCGTGCCTTAGGCACACTAGGGAAGCTAGCACTCTATCACAGAGTCACCCCAGCCCCATGTTTGTTTAAAGGCCCATCCCTGGCCTTGGAGCTAGACTAAGTCTTCCCTGTCCTTTCCCTGGGGAGTCTCTTGTCTTCCTTCATTACTGTACAGCATAGTTAGAAATTCAGAGAAACTTAGACTTTTAATTTTTTTTTCTCCCTCTAGGCCAGGGAATGCAAACTCAAATGTCTTCTTGGGATGACAGGTGATGAAAAGCAATGACACGGATTGGGAAGGGACTCAGGGTTAATGGGGACAGGCCTTCCCAGAGCCAGGTACTCTCAGTGTGGGCTCAGTGCTACCCGGTCACCTGTTTGTTAAAGACAGTGCGATTATGGATTTCAGATTTGCCACGTCAAAACTGGCAGTTGATTTAAAAAATGTAAAGTGTATTGAAGAGGCTAAAAAAAATTGCAAAAGCTACATTATCCATCACCTCCATTGTAGACAGTAGGCGCCATGAGAAGACTGTTCTGCTTCAATGTGTACACTATGTGTGCTCACGATGCAACCCAATGCTGAATGAGTGAATGAACCGTGAGTGAATGAGCACACGAGCCGGGCAGAGGCGGGAAGAAAAGAAGAGGAAGAAAAGAAGAGGAAGAAAAGAAGCAGAGATTCTGTCTCTGCCCAGAAGCAACACTGTCTGTTTGGGGAGAGAGACGGGTCCATCGCTTGTACAGCTGAGGAGACCAAGGCTGGAGGAAGTGAGGGCAGCCCACCAATTCCACCTCCCCTACTGGACATCAGGGCGCCCACCAGCCCCTTGTGCTTTCTGGATCAACCCTTCCTCACTTTAGATCAGCTGTTCTGGGTGAGGCTAGCCTCAGCCCTGGGTGGACATGAGACCATCCAGAATATTCCATCATTAGAGATAGCATGGAATCCAGTCAGAGGAGCTCCCTGGACTATGTGGCAGTCGTGGACAGGAGAAGCTGTTTTGAGAACTTGCAGCCTAGGAGTGGTAGGCTGTCTTTGCCACCACAGTGGGAGAACCTGCTGGAGACTGAAGCCCACACGAAGGGAAATGGAGAAGGACTTAGATGACTCCTTGAGTGCCTGGATCCAACCCTGCCTGAACTCCGTGCCCTAAAAATTTTCAGTAACGTAAGTGAGAAAATCCCTTTCTCCCTAAGCTGATTAAGGTTGTTTTTTTGTCATTCACTCCCAAAGAACTCTGGTGGATATATTGATTCAGAGGGGAGGGAACTGGGTGAATAAAGACTGAGGCAGAGGCAGGTAAGAAGGGGAACACACACCAGCTTCACCCGGTCTGCAGCTCTTAGCAGTGAGAGGCTGGCAGGCAAAGTCGATAGTCTGGTTTTTGTGTTCCCAGCATCTATTTCTCCTTCCTCTGATACCACCGCTGTGTTTTCCTCTGAGAACCACCTCCCTACCCCCCACCTCATCCCCAGGCTTCAGTCTCCATGGTTCCCTAACTCCACCCCCTTACCTTGCTCTAAGCATTGTCACATGACCAGTTTGGGTCAGTGAGGGCCAATATGGGCTTCTCATGGGAAGATGAACATGGGGATTGCTGACCCAAGAGGGTGTCAAGTTTATAGATGCTGTCTTTGCTGCTACTCAGGATCAAATTCTATGGGAGTAAAGCCCACTCAATAAAGCACCTGAAACGAAGCGAGCTGTATTCCTCATGTCATTTGAGCCCCTGGATCCAGCCATACCTGATGTTAGTTGTAACTCAGATCTGCCAGTATTTGTATCATTAAATTTCCCTTTTCCCTAAACCAGCTTGGGTTATGTTTCTGATTCATGCAATCAAAAGAGGCCTTGACATAGTCTATAAAGTTTGACCTGTATTTAGTGTTTCTTTTCCTTTATCACCACTCCAAAATTAATCTGGCTATATTCATCATTCTGCATTTAACTGAAGCAAGATGGCAGAATGACAACCATGACGTTGGGGACCCCAGGGGGAGAGCAGGGCTTGTTTGGTACTCACTGTAAGAGGGGATCCCGTAGGCTTGTGCTGGAGGTGGGTAAGCGGCGTAGGGGGGTGCCTGCTGGATCCCTGCGCTATACTGCGTCTGGCCGTAGGCTGCCATGGCTGGGGAGGGCCAGCTAGGGAGGACGTGTGGGCGAGGTCTGCGTGGAAGGGAAGAAGGTTAAGGCTCCCAGCCCAGCCCAATCCAGCCCAGTAGCCCTTCCCCTAGATCTGGGTATCACCACCACCATTTTCCTTTGGGCATTTGCCCCTTCCAGAACAGAGACACCTCTGTGCTCATAAAGTTCCGTTTCATTTTCCCCTTCCTGGGAACCAGGGAAATTGCACCTCCTGTCTCTCTTGCATTTAAATGTGACCGTGAGGTGGGGCTCCACCAGACAGAATGAGAGCAGATGTGTTGTAAACCACACTCAGGCGTGGTCAACAAAAGCATCCCCTGTAACCCTCCTGTCCTTCCTGATTTTGGTAGTAACGGTGGGAGGCAAGTCTGCAGTGGCAAAGCCTGGATCCCCAAGTCAGCCTGTGGAGGACAGCCACCTGCCAATATTGCACTATGTGTGAGAAACGAAGAGCCCCGGTTGTAGGAAGCTGGGAGACTTCAGGGCTTGGTTGTTACTGCAGCAGAGCCCGTCACACTCTGACTATCCATCCTCATACGACACTCCACATTTAACAGGGCTGTTGGTCAAGACGTCCTGCTCTTAGCCAATGGGTGGGCACCTGATGCAAGGTCATCCAATCAGACTGGGCCCTGGGGCCTTAAATCCTCAGTCCATTTCCACTTCCCATAAGAAACTCACGAATGGATACTGAGGTTGTGATGAGTAACAGGTTGCTCAAAGGACCAGGCTATTAAAAGCCATGTCCCTGAGACATTTGTAACTCAGTGGCCGCCACCAGTCTGTATTCTTACCACGGCTTGGGGATCGGGTTGCACTGACCTGGGATGAACAGTATGTCTTCTCAGGTGTCTCAGCAACTCTTTGAGTGGGAGCTCTTATACTTCTCATTTTAGAGGTGAGAGACCAAAGCTCAGAGGCCTGAGGTCACCAGTGGGAAGAGTCAGTCTAGAACGCTTAGAACCCCGAAGCTTTGCCGCTTCTCCCACACAGAACCAGGGTTCACCCAGCCCCCACAGTAATATTCTGTCACGGAGAGTGGCTCAAACCCAAAGGTGAAAGATGGTGGCAGGGCCTCTCAGTCCACGTACCCACAGATACAATTTCTTTGATCAGTGTAGCTATTTTTTCCCTTAATTTGATTTTTCTGCTGAGATCTTAAAACCAGAAGGTTGCACACACACACACATTCACACACATGCATGCACACCCATGTGCACACACACATGTGCACACATCACACACGGGCTTTATTTTTCCCCTCTTGGAAAGTAGGTGTTTCAGCCAGCTTGGGTCTGTGCGTGCTCAGCTGGATTTGAGTTGTGACCACCTCTAGACTGAGTGTCACCCTCTGTCTGCAGCAGTCCTTTCTGTGCCACTTCACTTAGTGATAAAAACAGCCAACAATTCTGCAGGCACTGTCCAAATTATGACTTTATGTGGACTGGCTCACTGAATTCTCCAACTCCGATGAGCTGTACAGACCGTTAATATTCATATCTCCATCTTCAGATAAGAACACAGAGACCGAGAGACACTGAATAACATGCCAAAAGCACACATCTGGCATAGACTGAACCCTGCCTCTAGCGGCCATGCCCTCCACTCCCTGGCTCTCTCTAGACACCACAGTGGGGACAACCTGACATCTATGTCTAATGGCGTGTGTGTGCCATAAATGTGATGGGAGCCCAAATTCATGCCTGGTTCCATTACATGACTTCAGTTAAAACCTGTTCGATTCCAGATGTTTCATCCAGACACAAAGTCACTTTGGCTCTCCTACATCTGAAGGTTTGTGGCAGGTGTTCGATGATCACAAAGCTGATGTCATTATCAACAGGTGTCCTCATGCCCTGCTTTCTTTCTGACATTACTACTGAATTAAATGAATCTTTTGGAGAAACTTGTTCCGAATGCTTAAGAAACTCATTTGAGCTTAAGATGCCAGATCCAGTCCTGGAAGGCGTTTCATCAGTCAGCATCCTGGCTCTGGACAGATCGTCCGCAGCTATGGTGGTAGGTGGGTCAGCGGGTTAGGGCTGACCAGAAGACCTAGTTGAAAAGGCTCCAAGTCACACCCCTCCTTAGAAGAGAAGCAGAGGTGGGAATCTGAGGTAATTAACTACTTCCCATCAAAGCCAGGATGGAACCGGGGCTAGCGTTGACGCCCAGAGAAAGAACAGCAGTACTCTCTAACCCTGAGGCCCTAAAAAAAGCAGGGAGATGTCACAGTCCTCAGTTGCTATCACTACCCCAAAAGCTCTTCTAGATGGGAAAGCAGACTAAGCGAATGTCTCCACCAGGCTGGGGAGAAAGGAAGACTTTCCGATGCCAAGGACAATACCATGTGGTCTAAGGGGACACTGGCCACCAGCCAGGCCGAACCCAAAGCTCTGTACACAGTGGTGGGCTCTGACTGGCAGCTCCCAAGGGTGACACTCAAAGGGCCCAGGTGCTCTGGCCATCACTGGGCTCCTGCTGCCCCATGTGTCCTTGTGGTGGGGCAATGATACCACCAGGTGGGGTTCTGAATCACTCTCAGCATCCCACTGGACTGGAAGCCCTCCAGGGGCAGGGCCAGGTCTCCTCCACCATCTCTGTCCCAGGTTCAGTACCGGATTTGATAACCAGGACTATGCAGTGAATGTTGGAGCAGGAAGAAAAGATGGAAGAAGGGAGGAAGAGACAGAAAGCAGAGATGGGAAAAAATGGAAGGGAGGAAGAGAAAGGGATGGAGAGAAAGAAGGGAGAGGGAAAAGAAGGAAGAAAGAAGGAAGGAGGAAAGGAAAGGCGGGGAAGGAGGAGGGGAGGGAAGAAATGAGATCAAGTCTGTGCGTGGAAAAGGAAGGAAAATATAGAAAAGTGAAGAAAGAGAAGAAGACATGCAACAGCAGCCACTACTCTCAGAGCAGGGTCTTACGCCCTCTCTCACATGTTTTTGCTTATTTCTTGGGACAGGCCACTTAACTGTCCCTCTTTCCCAGATGGAGAAACACAGAGGCAAAAGATGGTGGCCAGGGGCTACTCAATCCACAGACCCATGGGAATAATTTCTTTAAGCAGTGTAGTTATTATTTTTAATCTTAATTTGAATTCGTTTTTTGGTATTTTCAAACCAGAAGGCTACACACACACACACACACACACACACACACACACACACACACACCACAAGCACACATAGGGTTCACTTTTCCCCATTTTGGAAAGTAGGTGTTTCAGCCAGTCTGGGCCTGAGGACCAGGTAGAGTCACTTGCTAAGCCTCCTGTTGGGGAGCCGGCTCTGGAGCCAGGGTCAGACTCAGGTACTCACCTTGCAAAGAGCTGGGCCACACTCAGAGGGCTGGGTTCAGAGGTGCCTGGAGGGGAAAAGAAACACAGGCAGGGTTTATCTACTGAAATGAACTTCTGCTGAAGTTGTGCCTTCAGACAGTGGCTCAGACAGGGAGAGGCTTGAAGAAGTGCTGCGGGGACTTTCCCAGCCATCAAAGCTCCTCTGAGGTGGCACTGACCCGCTCTCCTCACACAGGGGCTCAGGACCCTTTCTTGGGGCACACAAAGAATCAACAGGCATCTGGACACATCAGAGTAGAATTCCTGTCCCCATGCTTTGTACAGATGGAGAAACTGAGGCTGAAGAGACAGGAAGAACTTGCCTGAGCCAGGTCACGTAACTAGACAGCAGCACACCTGAGACCTGGCCCAGGTCAGGGCCATTTCTTCCTCTGAGCAGAACTACTTCCTTTCCTGCCCCAGCAGCAGCCCCAAGAACCCCACAAGGCAAATGTTGGCTGGCTCTGCTCCTCTGATGTCACTTCCCTTCTCCTGATGGCAACACCTTGCTGGGCCTCCCTCCCCAGGTCATCCGCACTCATAGGGCTGGCCCACATTTCTTGGATCATCTGAGCTCCTGGCACAGGTGCCTTAAGCCACACCACGGGACACATAGCAGCAAACCGTCATGACAGACAACACTCAGGATATGACAAGAAGTGATGAAATTAGGCTGGGAGAGAGAGATATTAGCCAGAGGGTAATGGTAATTTTCAGATGGGGGATATTTTTGTGCTGCATTGTCTTTAACAATGTCACTCAATGTCCTCACTGCAGAGTGACAAACTCTACATGATGTGCCCACGGGTGGGGACAGCGGGCACCACCTGCCAACTCACGCTCCTTAAATGCAGAGCAGTGGCTGGGGGACCCTTGCTCTGAGCTGGAGACTCAGTGGACCAACTCACACCTCCAACTCCACCTCTGCTGAATGCTGAGAACAGCAGGTCACACAGATCTCCGGCCTCAGTTTCTCTGTGCAATGGAACAAAGTCACCGCTCTCACAAGCATGCATGAAGATTAAATGACGCTCCAAATCCTTTACTTGAGTTAATTATTTTATCCTAGCAATCACCCTATGAGGGGGACACTATTCACGACTCCAGATGAAGAGCTGGAGCCCCCGAGAGTTTAAGTAACTTGCCCAGGGTCACACTAGCTGTAAGGTGTAGATCTGTGATCGGATCCCAGGTGGCCCATCCCTGGAGCACTGCAGCCATGATGACAGTCACCAGTGTCAAAGCAGTGAGCATTCTGTTAGGAGCTGATTATGTGCCAGGCCCCATGCTAATGGCTTAGCCATGTGATCTTAGTCCTCGCCACAGGGCCACCAGGCAGGCACACACAGAGAAGCTGGGGCTCCAAACGCTGAGTGCTTAGCCTTGAACCCACGGGGTGAGCAAGTCCACAGTGCACACTTGGAACCAAGGCCCCTTCCCTCTGGGGTGAGAGTAGGGGTGGGGGTGGAGTGGCCTTAAAGTTCATGAGTTGGAGTTCAAACCTAGAGAAATGTCAGCACACATAGTCAGAAGGGATTGTTGAGAAGGCAAGACGTGCTGTATCTGAATTGACTGGTGGTGTATGTAGTTATGTATTTCTCACATACCACATTAAAAAAAAAAACAAAAGGTTAGAACAGCAGTGGTTCAATGTCAAGGAAAGCCTGGTACCCAGCAGGTGTCCCCTGATTTTGCAGGCCTGCACTGTGGGCAAGGCCACACATTCCCCCTTCTTCTACCTCCCCCAGGACGGAGAACAAACCGTCTCATTCTGAAGCAGCTACAGTCTCATTATTGGTGAAAGCTCACGACTCGAGAGTGTTTAGCAAGACATAACTTACTGAATTAAACATTTTAAACATTTTATTAATAAATATGCAAATATTCATAAAATCTGAATGTACAGGAACAAGATTCCTATGGGCTCACGTTAACCTGGCATTCCATCCACTTGGAGCAAATCTCCGAGGTGGGATTTGCATGTTTGCCTGGCCTCCCTCCCTTTGTCACCTCCACCGATTCCTCTGAATTGTGAAGCCACCTGCCTTCCCCATGTGGCTGTGTGCACCTGTAATGCACCCCTCCCCCACAAACACCAGGAAGATGGCGGGTAAAGATCTTCCTCTGGCAGAGGGTGCGAGTTTACAAAAATAGGCTGCATCTCCTTTGATCCTTCATCCTGAGACTCTGGGGGAACTGAGACGAGTTACGAATGGGTGGCCTCCTTTCTCCTGCCTTTCCCCTCTCCCTCCCTTTCTGCCTCCCATTCTCCCTGGTCAGGAGGGGGCAGCCTCCATTGTTAGATGTGCTGAGCGGCTCTCTAAGCCCCTTCCCTCCTTCAGGGTCCTAGATGGGGCTCTGTCAAGGTCGGACAGCCTCAGTGTTGGGCATGAGAGCCGGGCCAGGACTGCCCAGGAGTGGGACGCAGCCGGCACCTCTCTCTTCTCCACGCGATGGCTGTTCCAGGGATATGTCTTTGGTGGTCATTTAGGACAAAGAGCCTTTGTCTTAGCAATCTGCCATCACTGTATACAGTGGTCGTTGTGGATGATGCCAACCCCAGGGTGGCAGGTGGAGAAGTGGCATCTCTGTAATGGCTGCTGAAATGAACTGGCCCTCTGTGGGGCCAGGATGTCTTTCAATGACCTTCACCACTTTCTTAATGTCATCAGACTCAACATCTCTTCAAGGCCCAGACAGGCACAGAGGTGCAGACCCAGGAGGCCAGGCCCCAGTTTCCCATTTACCTCAGCAATGACCTCGCAGTGCACTGAACAGGGTAGGGACAGAGCCATGGATGGTGTCATGGCCATCGTTGCACAGCTTGCCAGGGGGCAGAGAGGTGGCAGTCATGAGTCCCTTCATGAGACCCAGGCCAGGGGAAGGAGATGAGCAATGCTTATGGTCATACAACTTCCAGGTCCCCCATCTTAAATATGGGCCAGCACAAAGGACAGAGATGAGGTCCCTTTGCTGCCACTCTCCAGCTGAGCCTCAGCACAGAAACACTGCTCAGTGGCAGCTCCCTTTGAAGTCGGTAGGATCTGGTGAATGGCAGATGGAGATGAGCCTTGTAGAGGCCATTGAACTTGTCACAATGACATCACAATACAGCATGCAGGCCACAAGGCCCCTTTGCCAGAGGTGAACCTGGCTCCCAACGCAGTCAGACCTGTTTACTCTAAACTTCTCCAGAGGGGTGTGTGTGTGTGTGTGTGTGTGACACCTGAAATGACAGCTTGCTCCTAGGTGGGGAGGACAGAGAGCTGCTCCACTGTCCTCTGAATGGCAAACTCTAAGCCCCACCTCCAGCCTTCTAGGGGTAAGGGGAGAGGATGAACTTGGCAGATGGCAGGACCTCTGGACCCAGCTCAGTCATTTATTCATTCATGGCCCTCCATGTGCCACGCAGGTGCTTGGAACTGGGTTGCAGAGCCAGCAAAGGCAGCCAGGCCTCGGCCCTGGGGGGAGCTGCTATCTACTGGGTATGACCATAACCAAATGAATGGAACTTAATTACGATTACAATGAGGCACAAAGGAAGAAAGCAGGTGGTGTGGCCCAGTGCACCCAGATGTGCCATCCTTCCCCTGGGGATCTTTCCACAGTGACACTCAATGTCTGCAGCCGTGGATGCTCCCAGGTGACACAGGCTGCAATAAGTTCTAAGAGTTTGCACAAGTCTGGGTTCATGAAAATAAATCTGCCTTCTGGAGGTCACAAACTCAAAAGCATAGTAACACAGCTTGAGTATCTCTTGTCTGAAATGCTTGGGACTGGAAGTGTTTTGCATTTGGGATGTTTTTTCATATCTTGGATTTTTTTTTTTTTTTTTGGGCAACTGGGGATTAAACTCAGGGCCTCAAGCTTGCTACATAGATACACTACTGCTGGAGCCACCCCCTGAGTCCTTTTGCTTTTGGTTTGTTTTTTTGGATAGGCTATCACACTTTTGCCCAGACTGGCTTGGACCACGATCCTCCTACCTCTGCCTCCTGAGTAGCTGGGATTACAGGTGTGAGCCACCATCTGGCAGATTTGGGAGTATTTGCATATAGCTACTAAAAAGAGATATGTTGGGGGAATGTGTACTAGTCAGTTTTCCATCTCTATAATGAAATACTTGATGAAATTAACTTATAAAGAGAAAAACTTAATTTTGGTTCACAGTTCTGGAGATTCCAGTTCAAGATGGGCCCCCCATTGTTTGGACCTCTGACAAGGGTGGCACAGCATGACAGGAAAACATGGTAGAGGAAACTTCTCAGCCCAAGAGCCGGGAATCAAAAAGAAAGAAGAGGCTGGGGCCCTACAATCCCTGTAGAGGGAAGCTCCCAGAGACCTAAGGACGTCCCACCAGGCCTCACCTCCTAAAGGTCCCTGGCTTCATGCACTTGTGTCACCATGGGAATCAAGCCTTTAATATGGAGGCCTTTGGGGGACATTCAACATCCAAAATTACAGCAGGATGGAACTCCAATCTAAACAGGAAATCCACGTATGTCTCATAGATGCCTCATCCACACAGCCTGAAGTAATTTTATTTCTTATATTTAATAATTTGTGTATGAAGCCAAGTTTCATTGTATAGAATTTTCTGCTTGGGTATTGTGTTGGTCTGAAAACATTTCAGATTTTGGATTTCCGGTAGGGATGCTCAACCTATGCAAATGAGCAAAGCGAAGACCTAATTTTAATACAGGGAGTCTCAGCTGGAGTCTGTGTGTGAGGGCACACTTAGGTGTTAGTGAGTGTGTCACTTACACACCCCGGTTTGTCATCCATGTGTGCATTTGGCCAGTGTTTGTCTTGCACCTACTGTGGGATGACTACAACCCAAATCTCATCATTTATTAATTTAAAGTTCTTTCCAAAGAAGGGAGGTAGGTTTAAGTGGTCACACCTCTCTCTGTGTCTTAGTTTCTTCACCTGAAAACTGGACAACAGCTCTTCCCTCCAGAGAAGGTGGAGCCCTACAAATGGTAACTACCCCCCCACCCTATTCTTAGCTCCCC